TTGAGTTTCATGGCGCAAGCCATCAAGGAGAACCTATAACGCCAAGTGAATGCTCGCACAAACGGCACTGTCGGCCTCAATCCAAAAGCATGAAAAGAAATGGCAACCAATCAATCATCAAAGTATATAGTTTGGATTGTACACAGTCCATTTTTTGGATCCCAAGTCATGGGTTTATCCACACCGCCTTCTCTATCCCATGCGGGTTTGCGACGGTTGACAGCAGGCGAAATAAAAATAGCGTGCCCTTGCAATCTAACCGGGATGTTCTCCCTGTATGTGTTTGTACAATATGGCAGATTCAAGCGAAGGGTACATGAACGCCAATGCGGTCTGTCAGGTTCGTTTCGCACGCCCCTCAGGCTCAGCCTCATCTTCAACTGGGATCGGCTCGTGGTCGGATGACTCGCTCATCTACTCCATCGTTAATCAATTGGTTCAACATCAACGCCATCTTCACAAGCACATACCTTATCCAGTTTGTAATTCGTCATCAGTAGACTGAGCGGGATCAGCGGAATCGTGACAACGAACGCCAGAACCAGGAGCTTATTCATGGTCTCCTGGTATGCGCGATTGATCGCTACCCGGACGGGGGATCCCATCGGGTAAGACAATGCCTTGGTCAACTTCCCGAAGATTTCACCCGCATCGGATTTGAACTCATCAGGGAGGTAGAGTTGCAGCTTCCTCGGAATATGATGTGTCCAAACGGCTCCTGAAATGGCTGCTCCAACGGCCCCACCCATCTCCATGGAAGTCAAAAACATTGCGGTCGCTGCAGCAACTTCTTGGTGGCTAGCAGAGGCCTGAACGCCCAACTGCACTGGAACGTTGAGGAGTCCACCGCCCATGCCAACGATAATCTGCGTACCCAAGATCTGCGCCGGTGAGCTTCCTTCCTTACGGTAGAGCAGCATCAACAGAATTCCACCAATGTAGATGACACAACCGCAGGTGACATAGATCCGGTACCGGCGCGTATATTTAATGAGCAATGACACGACGAAGGCAGCAATAGTCGACGTGAAGGCAAAGGTTTGGGTCACACGGCCAGCTGTGGCAACATCATAGCCCTGAACAACCTGCAGGTAAGAATAAAGGTAAGGTTGAACCGAGAAATAGAATGCCACTAAGACACATTAGCAGAGTGCTTAGATTGGTGGAAAAGTGTGGTCTTACTGAAGTAGAAGAAGGCCAAAGTACACCCTGCGAGCGCTGTTCGGTCTTTGAGTAGATGCAGGGACAACAGAGGCTTGGGAGCCAGTTTCTTTGATGTTTCCCAGGCGGGAAGCGCAAAAAGGCAGAGAATGCCAATCACAATCATCGCGATGATGCTGCCATTCTTCCATCCATTCTTGGCGTTGGAAGCAAGCGTAAGAGGGACCAAAATCAAGGTCACCGCTGTTGAGAGCAAGATCAGACCGAACATGTCAAGATCGTACCAAGTGTGGCGGATAATTGAAAGGAGGCCTCGTCGATGAGGGTGTCTAGGCTTGATCAAATTCAGTCTTCGAGCCTTGCGTTGGTTGAACAATAGCGAAAGTGCCAACGGAAGAAACGAGGCAGGTAGGAGGATCGACCACATTCCATAACCCCATCGCCAGGATGTATGCTGAAGCACTGCATTTGCAATAGTCGGGCCAATCCAGACCGTGACCAAGAATGGAAGCTCTGGTAGAAGCGCCAGGAGCGCACGGTTCAATAGGCTGCTGCTGTCAGCAATAAACACCTGTTGAAGTATCTGCAAGCCGGTAGATCCGGCAGAGTAGAAAATCTGCGCAGAGGCATATGTCTGAACGTTGGTCGACGCAGCCATTTGGATGTATCCTAGAACGTATATGAGGATGCTGACACAGAACGCTTCGAACCGACCGAAGACGTCGGCAACCTTAGCCATAGGAGGCTTGATAACAGCTACGAGGGTCAGCAGAGAATAAAAATAACCCAAGGGAGAAATATACTCACCGTTCACCACATTTTGAACAACGAGAACCGTAGAGATAAGGGAGTGCTTGCTGAAAGCACTGGTGGCATAAGCCGAAAGGGACATCACGGTTTGGCTTTCGAGCGAGGTACAGAAAGCCATGAGGAAGATGCTTCAACACCATTAGCAACCACGAAGGATATTGAGAGCAGACACCAATCCTGATAATTTACGAGGCTTACCTGACATATGCTATAATCAACGACCGTGTTGTCCATGTCAGATTGATCGCTTCAATCTTCCGAACACCCTCCTGAACCGAATCCACAGAGGATTCTACTTCACTATCATGCCCTTCAGGGTCGTATTCCGCCTGAAGGAGGCGCTCCTCCGCCTCCCTGTTGTCTTGATCCATTTGATCGAGGGTACCATATGAGACTGCTGAGCGGTGGTCAAGAAGGGGCATCGCGGCTGAGCCGTAATCGTTGATGGATGGTATCGCTGGGTAGCTATAAGATGACCAGGGTCCATTTATTGCGACAGGTCGTCAAATACTTCGTCGTGGTGAAGGTAGCAGATGAAGCAACAGTTTGAGTCCGATAGTTTCAATGTCGAAGTAGCAGGCATGAAAAGGACGGAGCAGGCTGACGATTGCAAGGCTAAGCGGACGTAAAAGGGTATCTGCGACCTGTACCAGCCAGATCCACCAAACGAAAAAGCAATACACTAGCCAACGAAGAGGGGGTATCAAAGTCTAAAGAATAAGCAGGGTAAGAAAAAGCAAAAGACACTAGCAAGATGGAGCACCCTGAAGCCAGGTTTGGGTACCACATGCATCAGTTAGGTCACCAAATCAAGCAGCGGAATGCGCAGCACGCGTGGATCGCCAGATCTGGCGTACAGCCCGGAGAACGGAGGCCAAGGGGCTCAGCTATGAGTCTGCAAGCCCAAATCAGGCTCCCCGATATGATTCACACCACTGGACACGATCGACAGGCCGCACTTATGCAAGTCCAAGTGGCAGGCCCAGGACCTAGCCTATGGGCTAAACGCCCGTGGCCCAGAAGGGTAGTGTGGCACCCGCTGAATTGCTGCACCAGATAGTCCGAACGGAGCTGTCAATGTTTTGTTTTGTCCCACGCCAGTCGTTGGTCGAATGAGACCGAGGGGACTTTCGGATGGGTTGGATGGTTGCAAAGCTTGTGCCTCGGCCACGGGCACCCATTGACGGGGAAGGGACGGGAGTTTCGTGCGTAGACGGATAGAAGGCGGGAAATGAGGAGGATCGAGTGAGCATGTACCCCTGGGCCTTGCTGCAAAGAAGGCTTCGACTGCAGGAGTTCACTAGGGAAAAAGCGTGGTGGTGTTGGTGGGGGGGAAGGATAGTGTGGCAAGGCGACCGGGATTCTGAATCCTACGCAGGCGGGCAACTGAACATCAGATATGATAAGATCACCTGGTCCGGCGGTCGGACCCGGAAAAAGGGAAGCCTGGTACAAACAATAAGATGGATTTATATTATTCGAGTTTATTACAATGTAGTTCTTGTGTTGAAGAAGATATAATAAAATAAGAGAACAAAGAGTATGTGCAGCATAAGCATATATACTGCTGCCCTTTTTATACTGTTCCTTTCAGACCGCCTGACATTCTGCTCGTAAGAAGAATGAAGGCGCGCATCATCCACGCTTCCCCCTTGCAGGCCGAACCTGACTGATCCAACACCGTACTACTAAGTATACTATTGCACAGCGTAATAGTACTACTCCATTCTCTCACATTTTTTCACCCACTCTTTGAATGTCTTATGGAGACACAGTGTAATTGTAATCACGCCAACGAAAGAAATCAGGGATCCCGGAATTATTTGATTGCTCAGCAAAGACTCTGCGTAATCGTTTTTGAGGAATCCCGGCCCCATCGCATGATTGGGGGAAGTGGCACAGCCGATGCTGGATGACTCGGGAACAACCGCTCCTGGTCATCATCCGTCGGTCACGGGGTGATGCATAGTCTCCGCAGCCTACAGTTTTACTCTTACCCCTCGAGCAACGATCATCCCGTGCGAGTAATAACAATCACCGGATCATCTGGGTAAGACCATCCTGGATAGGAGATTCGACACTTTCGAGGGGTGCGAAACTCCACAATGAATATTGACAGAAAGGCGCGAAAGCCGCAGGAAATTAATGCGATATTTTTCTGGTCGGTCGTGTTCACGGAAGACTCGAGCCGAACTTTAACGATCCACCCACTTACTCAAAAGGGTAAAGATATTGTATTGGGCTTCAAGTCCGGTTCGCAACCCTCCGGAATGGGTACACTGCCCACTGTACGACACCGCTGTGGTAAAGCTTAGCGTTGTTTTCTACCTCGTATAGGTTGCACACGGAGTTTTCTTGCGGTTGGTCCAAGATTCTTCAAGTGCTACTACTTTTTCTTTTCTGTTCGCTTCGAATCGGATCAGTTCATATGGGCTGCAGTTCTTGCATATAGACCAGATACTATTAGTTACCCTGCTCCCCTCTTCCACCCCCTCTTTGGATTTTAATCCCTCATCTCCAACCCAGCAGATAGGCCATGAGCTCGATTCTCGAGAAAATGTGAATATGCTGGCCACAAGTGACGCCCTGTGCTGGTGTTATTTCATGTGATCTGTTTTGCAGAAATCCATGCCCCCAATAACAGCTGGCGTATTACCTATCTATGCATTCAGTCATCCATGATGGTGGTGGTCGGTGCTTCTGGGGATCGAACCAGTGACGGTAATGGAGCTGGCAGATAGCCGGACCCTCAGTTATGATTGGCAAGCATTTTCAGTGACACTCGAATACTAATGTACTATCCAGCACACATAGATGACTGCTACTACCAGCTTGCAAATTCAGCAGTACGTTTTCTTACGGTCTGGGACTGAGATTGCATTGTACCATTCTATTTCAGGTAGGGTACCTGAAATCCATCATCCGAAGTATCAACATTATAGGGACTGCCAATCGATTCGGGACTATATCTAGATGACATGACCACCATGGACATTATGCATAAGATACATTTGCACACAGGACATCCATTAATCTGACGTGTCGAGTATCAGATGGCCAAAGTTCACCACCAGGTCCTCCCCCTCTCTCGAAGGCCGTGCTGCATAGAGCCCAACCCAGAGGTCTTGAACATCCGGTTCCTCGAACACCCAGGTGACTTCCCGAAGAGGAGATTTCTGGATGCCTTCCACGAGATAAATCCACAGGCTATTGTCTGACTCTCGGACCAGCTCTAGAGTCGCCGCTCCACCTCCTGACGGGACAGGCTGCAGACTCCAGTCCGCCCAGTTGTCTTTGGTGACGGTACTCAGGTGAGGTCGGCCACGGGTGAGTTCGATGCCTGTCTTGACCCATTTCCGGGTGCCTCCCGCACCGTTGAGGACAAGGATGAGTCCACCCTGGTCATAGTTTTGCTGCCAGACTGCGTTGAAGGCGACTCTGACCCGTTTGAACGACTTCAACGGAACACTCCGGTATAGAATTGGCGCAGTGAATGTGTCTGTGGATGGAGGTTTGGACCAGGCATCTGTTTGAGGGGCCGCTCTGATGGAGAACTGGGCGGGGAGGATCCCATCACCGGGTACCTTCTCGGAAGAATTGGCGAAAGTGAACTTGGTCATGATTGCCGTCTGATTCCGTGAAGAGGACGCTTTGGCAATGTCTGTGAGATCCTCACCCCGTTAGACGGTTTCGAACTGGAAAAGGGTATTTGAGGGAGGGTAATTGGAAAGGAAGGGTAGGAATGAGATGGAGTTATTCCAAAGGAACGAAATACAAAGGTCTTGGAAGGAGAAAGGAGAACCAGAGATGGATGATGTGAGGAAGAGCAGAGGTCTCTTGTAGCCAAAATGGCCTACGTCATATTGATTGGGGCAGCCAGCGACGCCATACTAGTAGTAGAGACTCCGAGCTAAAGCCAGCATCCGGATTGACCTGGGCCACAATGTACTCGAATAGGTATGCGGTCGCAGGGAGATCCTCACCGTCTGCGGTACAGGGTTTGGCCTATGACAGCTATGACTCTGGGTGAGTGGGGTAATCGGAGACTACGGGGCGATTAGAAGCACGACGATAAGGCCGGTCGGAAGGTAACTATGGGGCAATTGTCTGGTACTACTTTAACTGTTAAAAGTAGGTAGGCCTGATAGAAATCCCCCGGGGTTCCCGGCCGTTATCAGTAAACTCACTCCTCACTGGTATGATTTTGAGACTTTCTTTAGACACAATCCCCCCATGTGGTCCGGGGTTCCCTGCAGGGAGTCCCTTCCTCCCACAATGGCCAGTTCCACGATGGCCGGCAAAGCACGTGAGCGGGGAGACTCCTTTTCCACCGATGACATAAGCAGGCGTGCGCTCCCCTTGGTGGCAAAGGGGAAAACCCCGTGGCCTGGCGAGGCAAAGTTTGGGGAAAAGAGGATGGTTTGTTTGCCTGGTTGCTGGCCTGCCTCTGGTTTTTCCATGATCCATTGTATCCTAGGCATGGGCTGAGCAAAGTGATTGCTTCGACTTGCCTGTCAAGATCTGTTTGCCATGTCTATTGGCTACTATTATCCAGATGATTCCAGGAGAGTGCCCCTGTGGTCGCGACTCTTCTCATCAACTTATGCCGGTTATCGTCACCTGAAGCCTTCGGGGTCGAGGTACTCCGGTCGCTATCGTCGTTCTTTATTCCGCCGCATCTGCAACTATGTTTCTGCTGTTATCGGCGTTATATTCCTTCTCATCGTCCTGACCTCCATATTCCGGCCCTCCTATACCCAGCCGCCGCCACATTACTTGTCGCTTCGGAATGCGGTGTCTCAGTCAACGAAATCCGGCCGAGGCAACATCCGCAATGAGAAAGTCTTCATCGCAGCGAGCTTATATGACCCTGATGGTGATCTAGCACGAGGACATTGGGGGGACAGTGTGCTTGAGCTGATCGATCTGCTCGGAGAAGACAATGTTTTCTTGAGCATCTATGAGAACGACAGCGGTCGAGATGGAGAGAGTGCGCTTCAAGATCTGGCGGATCGGGCCACGTGCCAGAAGTCCATTGTTTTCGAGCAGCATCTGGATCTGGCCGGTTTACCGACAGTTGCCGTTCCCGGCGGTTCAAGACGGATCAAACGTATCGAGTACTTGGCGGAGGTGCGGAACCGAGCTCTAAAACCGCTGGACGACCAGCCGGGAGTGCGCTACGACAAGCTGCTCTATTTGAACGACGTTGCATTCAACCCGGTGGATGCGCTCCAGCTTCTGTTCTCCACAAATGCCACGGATGATGGCGTTGCTCAATACCGGGCCGCGTGCGCCGTGGATTTCATCAACCCATTCAAATTTTATGACACTTATGCGACACGCGATCTGCAGGGCTTTGGCGTGGGCGTGCCTTTCTTCCCGTGGTTCACTAGCGCTGGGCAAGGTCAGAGCCGCCAGGACGTACTAGCTCAGAAAGATGCTGTGCGGGTGCGGAGTTGCTGGGGAGGAATGGTAGCATTCGACGCGCGGTTCTTCCAGCGCGATACAGATTTATCGGTCATGGATGTACAGCCTCAGCTGTCTGGAGAGGACAAATCACCTGCTCGGTTCCGGGCGTCACATGATACGTTCTGGGAAGCTTCTGAGTGTTGTCTTATCCATGCTGATATTCAGAAGCCTCAGCCGGACCCAGAGAAGATCACAGACACGGGGATCTATATCAATCCATATGTCCGGGTTGCGTACGACACCCGCACCCTTTCCTGGTTAGGGACTACGCGGCGGTTCGAGAAGCTGTACTCTTGGATCCATGATATTCTCAACCATTTCGTCGGCATGCCTTGGTTCAATCCTCGGCGAACCGAAGTCCCCGGCCAGATATCTCAGGAGAAGGTCTGGATCCCTGATGAACATGAAGAGGGGAATGGGTCATTTCAACTCGTTGATCGGGTTGCGGGCAAAGATGGCTTTTGCGGACGCCCGGGACTTCAAGTCATCATCGAACATCGCAAAGAGGGCCAGAAGGGATATGAGGAGATTGAAGTACCTTCATAAGGGATTCGATCGATGTGTAGATATTCCCTGCATGCATATTGCATTGTTCTCTTTACTGTATAGGCCACGAGTTATGGGTACATAAATTTCATCTATAGACGTCCATGGACATAGTGCAATCCAAACATATCACATTTCGAAACCACATTGGATGGAACAATGATGCTTGTAGATCTGTGTTACGAAAACGCCCTCGAAATGCCATTCACCGTCGAGATCACCTCGGTCACAAGCTATTTTGGCGGGACTTGCCAATCATATTAGACTTCAAGTGTTATTCCCTACTATGCTATTTATATTGTAATATACTAGCCCCTCTTATTCCTTTGTCTGGCTTCCTCTGCAGTTGCTGGTTCATCTTTCTTTTCATCTGTTGCCTAGCATCCTTCCTCCTACAACCATCTTCCCTCTTGTTAGACACCTACATATCTCCTAATATCCCATCTCAAACGTTTCACAATCTCCCTAGTTATCATGGACAAGCGTCCGGTCCCCACAATGGAATTTGCCAGCAGGGTCACCAGTATAATCTACGGTGTCGTCGGAACCTTCATGGAGAAGACGTCTTTCGGTCTCGAAGAGAGCCGTCATGCTCCCAAGAAGACACATCTCTCAGTCAGTCTCTCCCTTTCCTGCTGTTTGTCTTGTACCGGCCTTTTCGCCCATTCAATACGTCTTGACGTAATTTACCATGGCACGGTGAGAGTCTTCTCGCTGGGCTGACTGCTAGACCTGAACAGGAACCCCCTCTTCGTCGTTCAGGTAACGAAGCCACGCACTTCACTGTCGACGAAAATAAAACTCGCCCATCCTCTGCTCCTTATTTTCCATCTCAGTCTTCTCCGTCGATACTTCCCGTCGACACTTTCCTTTCCACTTGTTCTCTTCCTTCTTCTTCTCCCTTATCTTCTTCGTTTGGCAACACCATGGAGGACAAGGAAAATACCAAGACGTTCCCTGTCGCCGATGTGGACGACACGGTCAGCTTCATGGCTGCTGCTCGCTCCTTGAAGCTGCCAAAGACTTATGGCACCCCTACTGTTGCTGTCGACGCGTCCAGTGAGAAGGCCAGTACTTCAATGAGTCGTCCCGAGTCTCGTGCTGATGCTGATGTTTTTGGTAAGTATCATGCTACCACAGCCATTGTTAAGTCGAGACGCGACATATCTAATGTTATTGTCTTCTGTAGCACCTTCCGGTCAGAACACTTATGACGACGAGTGGAGTATCAAGCCTGATGCTGAAGAATCCGAAGTGAAGCCCGAGACCCCCAAGGCTGGAGTGTCCAGTGTTTTTGGTGACTCCAAGCCCCAGGACTACAATTCTGCTGCTACTATCAGTGCTGGTCCTCGTGGTTCGGAAGCTGTAGCTTCAGGTGACGCCAGTGAGGTAGAGGACCGTGAGAACCTTACTACTTTCAAGAGCTGGGGCACCCCTGCTGCTCGTGACAAGCCAGGTATCATATATCATATCCTATCTTCCGGTGGTTAACTTACTTACACAACTTGTTTTAGCTTCTCGTGTCCGTCGTATCATCCTCCGAGGCTTGCCTGCTACCTGGTGCACCCCTGCTAAGGTTCTGTCGCTTGTGCACGGTGGCAATATTGAAAGTGTTCACGTCCATGGCAACGGAACTGCTCATATCCTCTTTTGTGAACATGAAGCATGCCAGGCCTTCTACGACAAGTATCCGAACGGCATCGACCTTGACAGAGAAAGAAGGATCACCGTGTTCGTGGAGATGGGCAAGGAGGTTGACGTGGTCAGCTCCCAGCTTTCTTCCAATCTATCTGTTGGCTCGACTCGCGCCGTGAGAGCTGTCGGAGTCGACATGAAGGCCAGCATGGCGCAACTGTACAACATGGCCTGTGGCAGTGGTCGCAAGGTTGAGAAGATCCTGGACTCATATGTGCCTGGAGACGTGAGTCTTCTTCTTCCTTTATCCCTCTTATGTATAGCATACTCATATTACTAGGCTCGCAACGTTGTCTTCCGCTTCTGCTCCATCGAGGATGCTGTGCGGTTCCGCGGGATTCTCGTGCGTGATCCTGAGTGGGAGCACTGCAACGTTCAGTATGCGACGGACCCGTAGGTACCCTCGTGTTAGTCTATGATGAATGCTGCTAACGTCGCTCAGCTGCGAGTTCGCTACCGGTATGCACATTGACTGAAATCAAGCAGACTATGTTTGGCTACCTTCATACGGGGCGGTTTAACAAGATGTCATGTCTAGGGCGGGTTCGGATATGGAGTAAAATGGCAGGATATGCAGGATGTATCTGGGGTTGGGGAAGATTGCTTAACGGACAGGCGTTGTGGTAACCTGATGGATTTATTTCACCTCAGATAGTCAATAAAAGCATGCGACATGCATGGATGTAGTTCCACCAAGGCTTGCAACATGAGGCAATATCCCACTACCAAATCATTGATTCACTATACAGCATAGAGTATAAGTGACGACTAGATTCGTGTAGCTATATGCGCGGTGGAAATACAGCTAACCCTTCCCAAACTGTATGACAATAACAGCAACTTCCGATACAACTTTCCCTCATAGCAAATTTCATAACACACAAGGTTGTGGCATAGCATACCAGTAAATCACAATACAACCCCGGACCTCTCGAAGCAGATTCATGACAGACAAGTCAACTTCTTCAACCCCGTTACCCTGGTCCTCAAAGTTAGACTATTCTGGCAAATAGGCACAGCAAACGTACACTGAACATCACTATAATCATTCATAACACGCCCTCGAGAGGTATAGATAACAAGAGAGAAAGGATGGAAAAGAAGGGCCTAGAGCAAGATCCCGTCGTGGCTAGCTTACCATACGTGTTTATGTGGTATGTAAGGTTCCAGTTAGCAATCGACTACCTGGGCAGAAATTAAAATTACTTAGTGCCTTGCCATAATTCAGCTAACCTGCTCAGGCAACCTCTTTGACTTCTGTCCTCCACTTCTCATCTACTTCTAACATGGTACAGCAGTCCTTCAGCCATGGCCGAATTTTTCGTCGAGAGGCACGGAGATATTGGAGTGATCAATACAGCATCCACGATGACAACATAACGCTGTATGCTTGGCTACAGTGAACCTTTAACCCGAAGCAACTCTTTATCTTCTTCGTTCTTTGCACAGTTTGGTGCAGACTCCTTATCAGCTCTCAAAAGGGGTTCTTTCGAGAGGTGGCCCGAGAGCTAGTTTATCAGCCATTGCACTATCGCAGTGGCTGTCTACTTTCTCATGGCAACACTTTTCATTCATGAGCGAAGGATTCGAAGGATACGAGTTAAGGCAAGCCACATTACATTGATCTGTCTCAAGTGATTTTATCAGTGCTTAAGGGCTTGCTACGGACAAGCTTATATTTCTCAAGGCTTATCATGGGACGCCTTAAGGCTTCATTCCTGCGAGGCTCGTCATTCAGTTTGACACTGTCATCATTGTGTGTGAGCAATCTACTCTGCAATTCTCTGCTCTGATCAAGGAACTAGTCTAACTTTTGTAGTTGATGCATATAGTTTTCTCGTTAAGATTAAGTTCTACTACGCAATAGAGATCAAGTGACGATCAGCCACGGCACGCTGACATGGCACGACAGGGGGAAGGCTAAGAAGGGGAAGGCTTAGAAGATTGACAAAAATCGGACGAGAAGCAGCGAGGAGACTACTCAAGGTCATCAGCGTCCCCCACCAGATGAACGTCATGATGCAGTCGGAAACACTCTCACAGGGTGAGCAGCCCATCGACAATTAAACCCTCAACTCTGAGAGTCCGGCTAACGAGTCAATACCTCAACGACCTGCAGGATGACATGGATGTGGTACAATATCATCTCAACGTGGTATTGCAGTACAACACAGCAGGGTCAGAAAGTTCTACGGTGTCTATAGATTATCCCTTAGTCAGTGTACACGTCTAGACGTACATGGTGCACATCATCCCAGTCAACACCATGGAGCTTCTGTGTATGGTCTGATCGTCAATGATATCAGTCACTTGGACAACGCCGGCTACTCTCGGGGCTGTCTGCTCTGCCAGTGAGACATTAGATGACGAAAATGGCGTGCATGAAGATATAATGTCAGCAGCTTTCGGAGCTTTAGTGTGCGGTAATAAGATCTAGGGGGTATGGCTTCCAATAGCTTTGCTGAGGGCAGCAGACAGCAGCATGGTCTAGTCTTCTCCTCAATGACCCTTATCAGTCAATACTTGAAGGTCCAACAAATAGATCCTCGCTGAATAAAGTAAATAATAATTGAACTTAGAAGCCAGTACTTTGTCTTAATCCATCCCATGTCTAACCACAGAAATAACTCAACTCAACCCTGGTAGATAGTATATCCGAACATTATATAGTGAGAAATATATATCGAGCAGTATTATACATGATCTACCAACACTACATCAGCCACGCCGCACCATCCTGAGGAAGCAAACAAATAAGCTATAATGCTCTTCAGATAATCATAACATCGCAACTATGCCTTTCATCAAGAAAATGGTCTGCCCATCAACCGTACAGAGCAATACATACCAATACACGAAACCATACACCACACATAACACGTATACAATACCATACACCGCCAAGAAACCGCCCTCGGACATAACGGGTATAATAACCCTTCTCCATTTATCTCAATGACCATCACAACTTCCCAAGCAGAATAGCAGGATAGTCAATCATCAAAGTCGAGAACAGATACCAAAATAGAGCAGACACAAATATACACATTCCACTGAAGCAGACCTATTCCCTCTCAACCCCAACAAACACCCACACACACAAGCATTGCCAAAACCCGCCAAAGACCGATCTCCAATCCAAACATTCCAATTACCCAAGCCAAGCCAAGTCAAAACCACCACAGCATACACAACACACATACATAAACCTAGCATTCCAAACCCAACATATCCTCAATTTTCAAACCCCGAAGACAAACATTCTGTGTAGAGTGATGTGACTCTACTTTTCCCTCCGATTCAAT